ATGTAGCATAGCTACCAAAGTACAGGCTTCTGTGGCCTAATTCCACTCAAGGATGCTAGGAGCGACTTGCAGAACACCACTCCGCACAAAGCGAAGAGGGTGACTGCAGCTTGATGCCAGATACACCAATATTTCTAGTCTCAGCGAGTGAATTACCTTGGGTCTATTTACTGAAGGAATTCCACCCCCCGCCCCCAATTAAAGCCCCGCTGTGTGCGTTAAAATTCACTCACAGCTATCGCAGTAGTATCGTTGAAAAGCTCAGAATGTCAGCTTTAAGATGAGACTAAGCATGTAACTGCAGCACAACTCAAGTAGAAACTATATTCAAAGATTTCAGCAGCTAATTACTTTATATCTAATTACTTAAAGAACTCTCTCACCCGCTTCCCTTTAAAGAGATGTCACGAACGTAAATATTGGAGTACAGCGATGGCAGTGGTACCATTGGAAAGAGCAGAATTTCAGCTTTAAGATGAGATTAAAACCCAGAAATTCCAAATCTGAAAATTTTAGGGTATACCTCCCCCTTAACCCCCACCATGTATATTAACCCCCAGCGTGCATCACACCTCCCGCCGGCAACTCAGTTTCATAACTCCCCCCTTCGCCGCACTCTAGTTGCAATGCAGCCCAACTATAGAAGTGCCTGTTTGAGCGCTGAAATTATCTCCCTCCTGTGTAATATTATTGAAATTCATGCTCATTTAGACGTGCCTGACGGAACTTCGAGCCAAAAATAACTGGTAACGCGCACCGACGTCAAGTAAAATGTTTAAATTTGTCTCAGTAGCAATTGCAATGTGCAAAATTTAAATTCTCGAAAAAATGTTCATTTCAAAAAATATCACTCGAAAAATTCATCATTTAAAAAATATCGAGTTTGCGGCGTTTATGTTCCTGGATTTCAAATATATATCGCGATATTCATGGGAATATTCAAACGGTTCTCTCATTCTTATGTGATTTGCATCAAATTATAGACGCTGGCCCAAGTTGGCTCTTCTCGGTAGCCTCTAAAATTGCCTGGAAATAACTGGCCGCTACGGGACTGAACGTGTTCAGAGGACTTACGGCTGCCGGGAGTGAATTTCTCATTTCCTGTATTTTTCATTTTTAGCGGATACTGGAATTAAATTCAACAATATTTCTTCGTATATTAATATTATTCACGCTGTCTAGACTGTGTGGCGCACGGTTCACCTTGGGAGCGCACAGCGGCCTCTTTCCACGCTTCCCTTTCCTCTATAATCTATATGCTTCACCAACCCCTTCCCTTCTGTTGCAAGGGCAATGGAGAGGATTGAGGGAATGGATGAAGAAAATATCCACTGCATGATAAAATATAAGCAAAAATGCCTCCGGATTTTATGTACTGCGCAGACGAGCAAAGAAATAAGCAGCACTTAAATATAAATGAGACGAAGGGCTGAGACTTCATGGCGGAGCCTCGAGACGTGAAAGAAATCAGGAAGCAAGAGGCCAGGAGTTGCGGGCCCTGGCGAGGCGAGCTACCGGAAAAAAATTAAACCTGTTCCTGAAACTTGTGCAGATGTAACGCCAACGGCTGACGCTCTCGAGTTGAGAACTCGACCCTGGGCTCTTAAAACTATAAGGGTTCTCGTGTGACCGAAACTTATTGCACGACCGTAACTCAACGATGCGTTCTTGAAATAATATAAATTCTCGTAGATATTGTAACCATGGCAGGAGGCTGCACTGTAACCGGATTGAGGGTCATCGATGGTCCTGAGTTCTGAACGTTTTAAATTCTTCTCTGGTTTTTAATTCTGTTGCTTGTCGTTTGCTGAGACATATGACCTAAATTTCTGGAATTATGCGTACCTGTCTGGTTATATTTCTTGGGCAAAACATTATTTTTTCTCCGACATAGTTTAGTGTATAGAGCCGACATAGAATGTCGGCGCTGAAGAATAAGCTTGATGTTGCCTGTTGCCATTTCTTGTACTTTTCTTAACTTGTTCACGAGAGATCTAAAAACCGGTCATTTGACCGGATCTTTTCCAAACTGACGATTGTTTGAAATAGCTACTACTTCCACCGGGTTCGATGTTGTGCTAGGCATTTTCAAGTCTGAACATATATTTTTCCATCGCTTTATCTAGTCTGTTCATGAACGCGTTCATACTCGGAGCGTCAACGATGCTGTCAGGGAGGCTGTTCCACTTATCGGTGACTCGAAGCGAGATGAAGTGTGGTCGCGTGGATGTGTTGCTTGCAACGCAGTTTTCTTAGTTTATAGCCGTGGCCCCTGGTCCTGGTTCTTGTTTCAAAATCTAGTAATCCTTCTGGAACTTGATATAAGCCATGAGTATACTTGTATACTTATATGAGGTCACCACGCAGACGTCGAAAACAGAGGCTTGGAAGCGTCATAATCTTTAATCTTTCTTCATAGGACTTGCCTTTCCAGCCTTGAATTATCCTTCTTGCAAGTCTTTGAACATTCTCTACTAAATTTTTGTCTTTCTTAAGTTTCGGTGGCAACACGGCGTTTCCAAACTTAGGCTCGGGCGCACTACAGCGACAAACAACTGCTTGATTGCTCTTGCATCTAAGAACTCGTAGGAGCGTCTGATTATTCCAAGAAGTTTATTGGATTTATTAGCTTTCGTTTCAAAATGCCCGTAGAATTTCAGCTCCTTGTCGAAATAAACTTTCAAATCTCTAGACTTTTCAATCATTACTCTCTCGTTGCAACCATGTCTTCTCATACTGTAATATTGTTGTTCATTGTTCTTCCCGAGATAAAATACTTTACACTTGTCAGCATGACAACGCAGCTGCCACTTATCAGCCCATAGCTAGACTCTCAAGATCATCTTACAATTGCGCTTTATTTGACTCATCCTTAACTGTATTATAAACTTTTTTATCATCGGCATACATGGAGCACTGGCTTGACACTACTTCTGGCAGATAAACCAAACAGCTAGGGCTGAGAAGCAACGAACCATGCCAACAGGCCTCAGAACGCTTCGTTATGGCACGCCACTGCGCACTGTTGCCCTGTCTGACACGGTTCCGTTAATACTGACACGTTCTTATCTACCGTATACTAGAAAATCTCTGATCAATTGGAGTACATTTCCCTCTATTCTCAAAGACTTCACTTTATGCAACAGCCGCTCATGCGGAACGGTGTCTAATGCTTTGGCAAGATCGAGGTACAATGCATCCCCTGGCTCCCTTTCGTCCAGCAGGCGAGTCTAATCGTTCAAAGTAGACAAGAGGTTAGTGTTACATGATCTATACTGGAAATAAGCCTGTTAACTTTGAGCCGACTGGGCGCTCCTCAATAGCTGAAAAACTGTTCAAATCCTCATCTGTAAACACACTGCTAAAGAACTTATTAAGAACGTTATATATAGCCTTACCCTCATCAGAGGACATCTTTCGTTGATCTACTTTCAAATCAAAAATATCGTCGTTTGTCTAACACTTGAACATGAAATAAATATTAAATGCTGTCAGTGCACGCCAGCTGTTGAAACAAGTGATGAGTGAACAAGTGTTCCCTTGCTGATTGCTATTCTGAGAAGCGTCGCTCATGGTGTGGTTTTCTGGTCCTCTTTGTTCTGCAGTTGACTCATTTCCTGTTGAAAATCTAAATTTATATCTACTAGCTTTATAATCGCAAGAAAAGTGAATGCTTTTATAACAGATATCCTCGTAACCTTTAGCGACTGCGCAATGATGATCGAATTCTTTGTCATCTTTACTTCTATGAAGGAAGGAAATTACAGTTCACGTTTATGTAGTAAATACGTTTACGTTATTTACGTTTATTCTAGACCTTTACGTTGGCATTGCTCTGTCCTGACGGTGAAAGGAGATCTATTAGCGTCCGGTGAGCAACATGAACAGTTTCCTGTCATTGGCATGAAGGATACAGAGTTCTATCATGATATATATACACACCTGCTATAACATACACCTGTTGTGTCGGGCTGCGACCACTCAGTCAAGCGGTAGCGGCGACCTTAGTACGCATGAATCCTGTCACTTTATTTATTAATTGGTTGCCTCCAATATGCTTTCAATTACTCGAATACGCAGTTGATTTAGATTCGTATAAATAATAGTATCATTCGTAAAAACCGAGTGTTAAATATTTTACATGTTTGTTGAACAGAATCCACTGAACAGTCTTGTATCTTGTACTTGTGAACTCGAGTTAAACTTAACTTAAACTCAACTCACTTAAACTCTCTTGTATTCATTATATATATTCGTTCGTCAACTAGAGTGGCGTCAATGGCTAATATTCTAATTTTTATTGCAGACGCTTGTATCTCTGGCTTCCGAAGATTCCATCGTGCCTGTTGCTAAGGACTACCGCGCCTCTCCCTCCACCGCCGCCGCCATGACCGCGTGCACGGGGGGCGATCCCCTGGTGTGGGCGCCGCCCCCCATACCTGACAAGCCTGAGTGCCAGGTGATGGTGGCACTCCATGGTGGCGGTGCCTCTACCTCCATCATCAGCGGTGCCAGCGACAAGGAATACTCACGCTGCCAAGACACATCGAACACATCTCATGAGACTTCCATAGACTCTTATAATCACAATAGTCCTCCCTGCAATTCCGCTTTGAGTGGAACGCCTTTAGACTTAAAATGCTGCGATAGTTCAAATGGCAACAGCTCTGAATCGAACATGACATCGACTGATTATAGTAATTTAAACACGGCTTCGATAAGCTATCTCTGCAAGACTCCCAGCGAGCACACTCACTGTGGCGTTACCGCTCTAGCAGAGCTCGCGACACCTTCCTTTACCAATGATGAGCTTGCATTTAATTCTGAATCCTCCACAGTTCCAAATCTGGTTCCGCTCATCCCGTCTGATGCCAATAGCGTTAGTTCCTGCCATAATCCTAGTGCAAATCCTATACAGCCTCCTACTATGCGCAGCGAGTCAACTGGTTCGTTTGAAGCACATTTCCGGTGTTTTCCTAACATTTCTTCGTCCAACTCGCTTAATTCTAACAGAAGCAAAGATTTCCCTTCTCTTGTTAATAATCATACAAGATCTGTATCTTCTTCGCTCATTACGTCGACGATGTCAACAGTTTCACCGTCTAGTGGGCCCAAACTAGTTACCTCTCCAGCTTCCAAAATCACCAAATCCTCTAGTCTAGAAAATCCTGCTCTTGTTGGACCTGTAGTGTGTAATTCTCGGTTTGTTGTGCCTGATTCTTCAAACCCTTTGTCCAAAAGTTGTGTCCAGATCTGCCGCTCTGGTTCAAATTCTGGTCCCGATGATCAAACAAATGCTAACCTACCCGATACCAGCTCGGATGTGTCCGCAAACGTTACTATCGCCCCAAGCCTTCCCGCATTGCCGGTAAATGAAGCCCTAAACTGCAAGCCTTCATCCCCTGAATATTCCCCAACGAAGCCTCCTCCGTCTGTGGCCATGTGTGCGATGGCCAGTCCATCGCTGCCATCCCCTGCCATCCCGACATGCCGCCCCACGGACGACCTTCCTCCGTTGGGTCTGACGCCAGCGCTGCTGTCGGATATCAGCGCCGACGTGCCTGTCGGTCTGTCGGAGAGCCCAACGTGGGAGGACCTGATCTTCCGGGTGTGCTGCTCCCTGCCGGCGCGGGTGAGGGGCCCTTGGTACAAGAGCCACCTCAGCATCACCCAGGACGGTCCGCTGCCTCTCACCTGGCGCCTCTACATCGCCCTCATCGTCAGTCATATCGTCAGCTGTAGTAATGAGCTTATCTTTAATACATCAGACAAATGACATCTGAATAGCGTTGAATAGCGTTGGATTAACGTTGATTCAATAAAAAATATTTAATTCATCGCTGTTGCAACGTCAGATGTCTGGTGGGAATGGTGCAATGACGCTATATATAATTAATCGATGCTCAACAGGTCGAGTCGCATTATATCGTCTAATCCTTAATTGCAGACGAAACACTCTTTGAGATTCCATCGTTATTTTTCGACAACATTTCACGTCATGAGTGATGTTGAGCTTCAATAATTTTAAATCGCTTCAACACTATTTCATATACTTTCTTTATAATTTAATTGACATAATCATAATTAATTTTACTCAACTACTTGCTACGAACATAAGTAAAGTAATTTTCTTGCGTGCGCAGGCGATGTGTCGTCACGAAGCGCCGTACGCGGTCGTGCTGCTCGCGCGCAGTTTCCTGCGCTGCGGTGGTGAGCGTCGGTGGCTGCAGCACCACACGCACGCACCACCCAAACTGCAGCTCCTGCACACCATCAACACCACACTTGCCCATCAGCCCTGGGCACTCACCAAGCACCACCTTCAGGTACCTCATCATCACTTCTCGCTGCATTGTCCTTTGCTGCATCATATTTCACGCTTTTTCTACCTTATATTTATTACTCGTGTGTCTCCTGCCTCAATATTAGTCACCCTCGTGCCCTCACCCACTATATTTGTGGCCTACTTGCCCTCACCCACTATATTTGTGGCCTACTTGCCCTCACCCACTATATTTGTGGCCTACTTGCCCTCACCCTCAATATTTGTGACCCACTTGCCCTCACCCTCAATATTTGTGGCCCACTTGCCCTCACCCTCAATATTTGTGACCCACTTGCCCTCACCCTCAATATTTGTGGCCCATTTGCCCTCACCCTTAATATTTGTGGCCCACTTGCCCTCACCCTCAATATTTGTGACTCACTTGCCCTCACCCTCAATATTTGTGACCCACTTGCCCTCACCTCGACTATACGTGAGTCCCGCGTGCGCAGGCGCTGTGTGGGTCGGGCCACAGCACCACCACGTGGGGTCCCAGCGAGGTGATGCACGCGGTGCTGCTGCTAAGTCATCACCACGCACTGGCCGCGTGGCTGCTGTGTGGCCCCTTCATCACCCGCCACTCTGCCGGCCCCGCCACCACCACGGGCGCTGCCTCACCCAAGCGCCCCACGGCGGGTAAGGGCGCACAAGTCATAAAAAAATAATTTTTCCTAAAAATTAGTAATTAATTAAGTAGAAGAATTAATTTTCCTAAAGAATTTTTCTCTTTACAATTCCACTTGTTCTCAACGGATCGTGTTCAGGTTTTCGTATGGTATTGTCTATTTTTGTGCCCGCTTACTTGGGTCTTGGACCAAAAAAACTTTCCTCATATGGCCGCCCTTATGCCACCCATACCCCCCGCCTAGCTGGCAACTTCTTGGTCGGAGCAGCCGCTCTGCTCGGGATATTTATTTTCTTAAAAACAACGTACAATGTCAAACTCAAACCAACTGAATTTTTTATGTAACTAACCCTGCAGAAAGCAATAAGCATCAAACAAGTCCCACTGCAACTTTTGATCGCTAATCAGGATAATCGGACAAATAGTATGAACATCAAATACAAGAGTGGGTCGCCTAATGATGCTGATTAAATTACAGACGCTGACGACGTTGAGTGTGATTCTGACGAGGAGGACGACGACATCCCTTACGTCGAGCACTTCTTCGACGACCACGACAGCAACACCAGCAGCAGCAGCCTCAGCAGCAGCCCTGAGAATGCCTCAGCTTTTCCCACCGTTAAAGCTGGGACCAACGCCCCCGTCCTTCCTGATGGCACCGGCGACGGGGAGGCAACTAAATCTTGCCGTGGCTGCAGTGCCACGAACTCGTCGGACGCCACGGGCGACTACGCAAAAGTCGCCGACCACACAAAAGTCACCGACTACGCAAAAGTCGCGGACCACACAAAAGTCGCGGACCATACAAAAGTGGTCGCGCCGCTGGTGGCCGCCAAGATGCCGCGCTTCGGGAGCGACGTCAGGACTTCGAGTCGCCCGTCCTCGCCCGTACTGCCTCCCGCAGCTCACACACAGTCTCCCCTCAAGGCGTGCGCTGTGTCAGTGTCCCTCTGGCATTAATTATTTATTAAGTTTTCATGCTACAGTGAATTTAGATGTAAATCTCCCAATTTTCAAGCCTATTCAGTTCATTCACGTTGACTAGAGTCATCTGTTTCAACAAACTCTTGACGAATGAAGATAAGTAATGACATACCATGAGCTGGGGTAAGATTGGCAATCATGTGAGGATTTAAAGACCTCGTTCATGCATTATAGGATGGGTAGCACCACAGATTTGATTTGCATGTCACATGATCGCACTTAGTAGAATACAAGTTTTACGCACTTTCGGCCAGTGTTACACTCAAGGTCCAATCTTACCCCCCTGACCGTAATAGCGTACTTTAGGAATACTATTTATTAACCAAAATTGATCGGTTACCGTGAGATTACAATTGGTCAACTTGAGTACGATAAGAGCTACATAACCTCGTGTTACGGTATATAGTACGTACCGTCACACGAGTAATGACAGCGCCACTGTAACTGCAGGACGCAGGTGACGGCCGCGCAGAAAGGTAACAGCGGCACCGGGGGGACCATGGGGAGCGTCCTGCCGGGCCTCATGCCCCCTGGGGACGGCCGCTACAAGCACTTCCCCCATCACCTCCCTGGGGAAGACTCCCCTAAGATCTCCAGCAGCGTGAGTACCTCGCTAGCCGTCCATGGTTTTTGGGGCTCTGACCCAGTGAAAATTTACAGACGCGTAAGCTTCTGATTTGGATTAACAGAAGCTGGGGCGACTCTAAATTTTGTTAGGGGAAGAAGAGTTGGGGCCGCACTTTCAGAAATTGTTACGAGTTTATAAATCCGACAGCCAATAACTGACAGTTTTTCAAGCTAAACCCATCAATCACAGACGAAAAATCGGCCACTACGTGAGCTTAAACGACTGATGATTGTACGGCCTCGGATGATGAATTGCAGTGCATTCGCAATTTTCCCAATTCAACATGCCACAACATGCACGCATACCGTCCATGGTTATCCTACAAGTACATCGAAAAATGTATCAAGTAACACTCAGGATTTAATGCATCTCGAGTTTGTGCAGCACTGAATTTTAACAAGTGACGCTATTAACCACATATTGTGTCGCCTGCAGTGTACGGGCTTTGGTTTAGAAGATTATTCACGGTCCAAAGGACAGCATAACGATTAAGTCGATTATCTAATATTACTCATAATTCTATTTGTAGACTGCAGTAGTTTATTTTTTAGCCTACTTTAAATTATTGCACAAACGGCATAGTTTATCTTTTATTTTATTGCTTTGAGCGCTCATCAGTCTGCATAATTACTGGTGTATCGTTACAGTTCTCTCTAGTGTAGGTATATTTATTCCTATGCAGTCCGAAACAAGGGCTAATAAACTTATCAAAACTTTAAAAGCTCAATAAATTTTTGAGTAGTAAGAAACAAAAAGAAAGAAAGTACAAGAATCGGCGACATGCCTATCCAGGCCTGGCCTATTCTTCAATCCCGAAGATACTATACTTTGCTACTATACTTAATGAGGTACTAATAATAATACTCAATAACAATACTTAATAATAACTTATAATAATACTTAATACTATATTTAATTACTCTACTAAACGAGGCTTGTGTGTACAGGTGTTCCGGTGGCTGGACTACGGGTTCGACACGACCCGGCGCTTCCTGGGGGACGCCGTGACGCGGGCCCTGGACGAGCGTTTCTGTGCGGGGTCCTCCCTCAGCCACTGCCTGAGTGTGGCGGGTGTTGCTGTGGCGCCACCACGCCACAAGAATGGCGCTTGCCATAAACCTGTGTGGCGGCAGGTGCAGTGGCTGTGTGGCGTGCTCTACGACGACTACGACTACAAGCTGCTCAGGAAGACCATGCCACAGCATCTGCAGAAGCTTATTCGCACCGCCACTTGCTTCCCGCACCGGTAAACTTTCTTATCATTGCTGTTCTTTCCTTATTATTGCTATTTGAGCCTTATTGTCATTGTCATTTGTGCCTCATTGTCATTTGTACCTTATTATTATTGCTATTCGTGCATTAATGTCACTGTTATTTGTGCATTATTATCATGATTATTCTTATTTTATTATCATTATATTCTAGCCGACAAGTTGACCAATCAAACATCAAATTTTGCCTTTCATCAATATTGTTTTCGATTTGCTTATTTTTCCTGGGAATAAAAACTTGAACTAATGTTTTGCCGCGATTATAAAGCTCAGTGATGAATAGATTCCTGCGTCTCTGCATGGTTTTCTCAAGTTTAACTGGGACAACGGGACGAGACGGGAAAGGCCCCGCTTAAAATAACGACACGAAGGAACGAAAGTGTCCCGGGATGAATATATCCGAACGCGCGGCTTGAGGGTTACCGAGCAAAACGCTTAATATTAATAAGCTAAGTAAAAGTTGAATCTCATCTTCATTTTCTTCACTAAGCGAGACAATGATTTTTGGATTGTCTCGCCAGGCGAGGGAAAAAAGTACATAGTGCAGATGTTCAGTGCTGATGTTTAGGGTTTGATGGTTGCAGGTTGTGCACAGTGCGGCGCTCGCCGCTGTCGGAGCAGGACGTGTTGCTGGTGTGCTCCCAGATCATGGACTGCAGGATGCAGTGTGAGGTGCTCTTTGCGGTGCGTGCCATGCTCGACTACTGCACCATGGTGCGCTACTAGACATGCTCGACTACTGCACCATGGTGCGCTACTAGACATGCTCGACTACTGCACCATGGTGCGCTACCAGACATGCTCGACTACTGCACCATGGTGCGCTACCAGCCATGCTCGACTACTGCACCATGGTGCGCTACTAGCCGTGTTGCGCATCATACTGCCTCGGTGGTGCGCAGTGAAGCTCATAACAACTGCCACGATATTCAATGCGTCGCGGAGTGCGTGTCTCCTAATGTCGTTGAATCCTCTTGATTTATGAATAACATTTTGTTTTCGTTGTTATATCATAACAATATAGTCTTCTTATTCCGTCTGTTTAGGGTATTCTCGAATAAATTTACTCCATGAGGATCTTGATTCGTGATAGCCGCATCATTTCGATTGGAATAATTAATGATAGAAGCTCGTTAAGTATGGATTGTTACAGCTAACCAATCTTGTTAACCGTGGAAGTTGCCAGTTCGACTTGATCTCTCGTCGCCCATTGTTATCACCTGCGAGGTTCAAATCGTAGATTTGTCGTGCTTAACGACCAAATATTTTTGTTATTACAGCTTAGATCTTTTCATCATAAGAGAATATTATCGTTCACTCATGCCGATTTTTTTTATCCGCTTACCACATTTGACTTGGTCCAGCTGACTTGGTCCAGCTCAATCCAAATTTAAAACTGATATACGGTTAGGCTTCATGAAGTTTTTTAATTTTTCATTTAAATCTGTTTTAATACTACATCATCTGTGACGTAGGTTTAACTTTTTATATTTTTAATAACATTTAGATTTAATCTGGCTAATAATTTTATGACGTTGTGGCTCTCAGAGCTGAATGTGTGATTCATATCCATAATGCTGCACGAATTCTTAAAAGAAGCGTTCGTGTATAGCACGAATTGATGCGCGACACGAATCCATATTCACTGCGCGTCCTCCCTTGGAGCAGATCTCAAGTTATTGCATTATTTTAGCTCCTGATTTTCTTGTCTAATTTTATTGCTCTTATTCTTACCTCTATGTTGGTCTTCATTTAAGTCGTGTCGACCGTGAAATTTCAGTCGCGCTGTACGAATTTCTTTAATTTTTTAGTGAATTTAGGCCAAAGTTCGTCAATAATCGAATTGTGTTTTGTGTTTTCCCGTTTCGTATTTGCCAATTTATCCTCAACATCAGCGCGCCATAATCTCATGTGATGTTTAGTGTTCATTAATTAATAATGTTTATTTTATTCTTGATTGATTGTTACATTTCTCATTCCCGCCACTCGCTGTTCAATTTGTAAATGTCAAGATGAGTCAACTTTTTGAAACGCATGTAATGACGAAAGATGGAAACGAGGACACTTGATGATTATTTGAAAAAAGTGCTTTACTGTTTCGAGAATCGATGTTACTGCTGAGATTTTTTCCCCATTAGTGCGCCTGCAGATGTTCAATTTCTTGATTAATCCTCGCCTGCGCAGGTCACACATTTTTCGTTGATGATATGCGCCGAAAATAAATACTGGGCTGAAATAATATAATATTCACAGTTGCGCAGATAGCGCCAGCGTGCACGGAGCGCCGGACGTTATTAAACATATAACATAAGTATTTGGTGTCTCTCCTTGTGGACGTTAGAAAAAAAATATAATTCGTATACACGTACCCCGCTGATAGTGAGAACGATGCCCGTATAAGACACTCTTTTCTGTTGAAGCCGACCTCATCAAAGTTGGTATAGGATTTCTTACTACATAAATCCATCATATTCATTAAGTTTTAGTTGCGTGAAAACATGTAGACACTTCATTACATTCTCAACCTTCTGGCATGTGTATTATAATGCGTGTGTTAATTTTGTTATAGATAAGTCTTCCGCAATGTAAAGACGCAAGCATAACGGCATTACTTGTATTCATTAAGTGATATGTAAAATGAAGAGATCGATAGAGGTTCATCAACAATACTGCATTTGTCTTTCATAGGACAATCTATTTCTTTTTATTTATATTGAATAGATTCTCCGATATGTAGAATATCATATACGACAGTAATGTATCTATCTTTGCTTATAACTTTATTGTTAAGTTGAACTGAAGTGAACGTCAGTTTTACGCCACGAGTATTCCAGCCATCGGCTATAGTTACTATTTCACCTCGTGGATATTGTATTAATGCACAGCTAACGATAAGATTGCGATATTCTCCGTATATCTGTGCCGTAATCTTAATCACGTGTTAGAAATTGTAATGCCGGCCGTTTTCCTTTTCAGCAGCCCTACGCTGCGGGTGGTTCCCGTCGCACAACATATATTAAGCTTTAACTCAATAATTTACATCTGTGAAATCGTCCAAATAATTCATCTAACTTCCGAGCGAATATTTTCGTATTAAATTGTCGCAATCGCAGAGGCTATTCTGTGGAGTAAGCATGCAAATCTTATAGCATGTTACATGGTATCGACACAACGCTGGACCGCAGTACAACTCTATAACTTTTGTAGCGACACAACGCTGGACCGCAGTACAACTCTATAACTTTTGTAACGACACAACGCTGGACCGCAGTACAACTCTATAACTTTTGCTTGGCATTACAACGCAGCGAACCTACTTCTTTCTAGTCCTTTGATCTTTATTGCTGCTCCGACGCTTGGCAAATTTAATATCAAATAACCCAACTAAATGCAGCAGAACGATGAACGCGTTGTATTCATGTACGATTCCGAAAAATACAAATGTTTCGTTTACTCCGAGGTAGCTTGTACTCGTAGTTATTTAATAATAAGTATGGATTCATAAATTCGACGAATAGATTGTCTAGCTACTTGATTTGTCTTCATCTATGCACATTATATTCACAGGCTCGCTTTTCTCATGTTATTTAATATTAGTGTTGTTGTTTAGCTTATAGACTTGCTTGATGCCATCCCTTGCAATTTTGTTGCCTACTGGTTTATTGTAAATAAGTTATAGAGTTCAGATATTCTGTTGCACTTCGTACCGCGTAATTAAGTGTTCAGTCGTAATTTGCCTTGAAGTTAACCTCATGTCCGATGCTAAGTGGTACTTGCATCCTCTACTCAAAATGTAGCCAAGAATATTAGTTTTTAGTTCAATCCACGAGAACAATTACCTATATGTAGTTCTGTAGGCCTACGTGACAGCATAAGCCATATAATTTCGGCCTAAAGCATATATAGTTTCGGCCTAATGAAAGAGAAAACTGATGTACATATGTTATTGTCTTGCTAGCTGGTGACTTGTGCACTAGGAAGACGCAGCTGGTGACTTGTACACTATATAGGAAGACGCAGCTGGTGACATGTACACTAGGAAGACGCAGCTCTTGTGCACTAGGAAGACGCAGCTGGTGACTTGTGCACTAGGAAGACGCAGCTGGTGACTTGTACACTAGGAAGACGCAGCTGGTGACTTGTGCACTAGGAAGACGCAGCTGGTGACTTGTGCACTAGGAAGACGCAGCTGGTGACTTGTGCACTAGGAAGACGCAGCTGGTGACTTGTACACTAGGAAGACACAGCTGGTGACTTGTGCACTAGGAAGACGCAGCTGGTGCCCGCGGGCACGGTTGTACAGCCACGGCCATAACAAGAGCACAGCTCGGACGACTTTCAATGCTGTGCAGCGCACGGAAGATGCTGTGCAGCACAATATATCACATATAGGAATGATATCTTCCATAATTAAAGGTGCTAACTTGCACACTAACGACTGATCACATATAGGAGTGAGTTATATATAATAATGTGTGTCCCTCAACCCATCACAGAAATATGAAGCATATTTTGATCTATCCATCTATCGCTTTTTGTAGAGGAGAACTATTATGATCGGAATAATATATGTGAGATAGATTTGAGTTGTCTCGTTTTCTTGCCCTGCTGGCCGCCTATATCAAAGTGGGTCACGATGCGGACCATATATATGCATCGTTCTGGACTACTTTCGTACCGTGAGAAAGTTTGTCAAGTAGCATTTCTTACGCCGCAGGCGTATGATCAATGAAAATTTAGTCCAAACAGTATTTACGTCGGTTTTAATTCATCAGTTGATCGTAAGAATAATGAAAAATTTGCAATATTTATTTAATGGATAACTTATTGTATTTTACAATTGAATGACCGTGTATTGTAGTACAGGGTGAAGCAGGGAAACTTTGCTTATTTGAAGCATATATTATAACAAAAGTATTGAATACATACAAATGAATTTTGTAATATTATCATCAAGAACAAGAAAATTTTACAATTTGCCAGTTTAAAGATGGAATTATTTTATAGATTATATGATTTATATCCACCATTGTCAATATATTGTATAAGTATAGTGTCCGGAGATTGGTGTCGACTCTTTCCAGCATCTCAATAAGAATGTTGGCGACGGCTTCACGAATGTTATTCATGAGATGGTTCAGGTTGTTGGGTTGCATGGGGATGGAACTTCAATTCCTCATGTAGGATCCGACTAACTGAACGAGCTGATAAGTGATAACCCTAGAGCTGATGCATGCTGGCGAGCAGATCGGCGGGGAGACCTGAGGGAAGTTGGCGACTGAGGGAAGTTGGGGACTGAGGGTCTACTGAGAGAAGTTTGAGGGTAACTGAGGGATCTCACTGAAGATTGAGGGATACTAGTCGTTTAATATTGCGCTGACGATTTTATATTTGACTGAGGCTTCCCTAAATACTGGTAGGGTAATGGGAGGATGCAGGTCCGAGTTTTTCGTGTTTATTTAGTTGAATGTCGACATGTACAGAAGGTATATTAAAAGGCCTGCGAACAAAGGTTAGACATTAGAACATGACATGAGTAAAATATTCCATAGACATTATTACAGGGCATGGGTAAAATATTTTGTCGACCAGGATATCATCCGCAGGATTACTACGAGTTTACTT